GAGACTGGAAACACTGGAGATTAAAAAAAATATCAGCTCCCACTCTGAACTATGCGCCATCCCTCCACGAACACCTATTTCTTTTTTAAAACAAGAACATCTACTCCCAGTTCCTTACAATAAAGACTCAAAGTTGCGCGCGTAGCCCCATTCACCGTGGAGCGGGCCCTTTAAAGGGGCGGGCTCTTTAAAGGGAGGGCCCGCCCCGCCAGCCGGGCCTGCAGTAGCTTCCCGCCACTGGAGCCTGTTGACTTGCACTACTATATTTGGAGGCAGTGACGCAAGCAGGTGCGCGAGCTACTTCCGGCTGCCCATATAAGGTCAGGGGCCGGGATCTCCTTAGCGGGCTTCTTCCGGGCGGGCGGGGGTGGAGCCTTAGCCTTCAGGCACGCCCTCCTGAACCGGCAACCTGGGTCCACTAAAGCTCGCAGTTTCCTGCCGGGCGTCGGGAGGACCCTGCGGAGATGCGGGGGACGGGAGGTGGGGTCCAGTGGGGCGGGCAGGCGGTTTCGCTTCCTTTCCTCCGGGGGCCCGGGAAGGCGTGACGCCTTTTCGGGGAAGCGTCCGGTCCTCTGGGAAGGGAGACATTAGGCTCCCGCTGATGCCATCTCCCACAGACTTCTTTATCTCTGTCCCCACAATTCTTCTACTGCCCCCCCCAAGGCAACCCTCCCATCCATCCCATGCCCATCTGCCCACTAGGAGACCCCACAATGTCAGTGCCAGCTCAGAGTTAGCTGAAGGCCCCTCGTTGCAGTTCTTGTCACCCAGGGGTGACCCTCAGTCCCTCCACGAACATTTCTGGTTCATCTCTACAGGGGGAACCCCCTCACCACACACATACATAAAGCAGCTGAGATCCTCAGGAGCCACCACCACCCAGCTGGCACCCAGAAACACTCCAAGCATAGAGAAGCACGTCTACGAAGCCCCCTCCCTATAAGCTCTCCAAGGTGAGCTCCCCAAGGAAGATCTTCGCGGACCCCTACCTACGGCCACCCCGCCCCTCCCCCTAAAGAAAAAAAGTGAAACGGAAGCCCCCCGCAGCCTGCATCCCCCCATTCTGTAGGGGAGTGAGAGGGTCTGCCCTACTTCCGACCATACCACCCCATATCCAGGGCTAGGACGACCTCCCAGGACGGGATCCTGGGCTCCCTTTGCCCCAGGGACCAATGGGGTGTAGGTGCAGCGAGTTAGGTAAGAGGATGGACAAGTGGAGTGAACCTCGGGATTAAGGGAGGCTGTTATTTTACATTCTCAGAAGGGAAACTAAGGGTGCGCCGCGACAAGTCAAGGAGCTGGGACTCGAACCCCCGCCAACCAGACCTAGAGTAGCACCCGCTACAGTGCATCCAGCCGCCGCAAGAGGGGCCGGAATGAGGACCGGAAGCCAAATCTGCCCATAAGTAAGGTGGCAGATAGAGTGGCCTCAAAAAGGGCGGAAGTTTCCGTACTTCCAAGGCCCTTCTTTCTCCCCTGGAGGGCGCTCTCGATGGTGGCTGGGATCACGTGACGGCGGCGAGGTGGGCGGTGTGTTCTCCACTGAGAGGGAGGGAGTGAGCACAGCCAAGAGGGGAAGGGGGCTCGGTCTAGGGGTGGGTAGGTGACATGTCTTTCGAAGACCCGTTTTTTGTCGTGCGAGGGTAAGTGACAACAACTGGGGAGGGTGGAAGGTGTTCGGTCCTCCTGCCAGCCATGCCGGGTGCCTACCAAAGCGTGCCAGGTGGGCCCGGGAGCGGCCGTTAGGCTGCTGGATAGGGGTTGACCTGAGGTTGAGTGGTAAGGGGCACCGCTGGGGGATCTGAGAGTCTTTAAGCCCCACCCCTCATTTGGGGGCGCAGCAGAGGCGGTGGGAGTGCCAGCTGCCCCCAGCGGCACCCTCCGTGCCTTTGCCCGCAGCGAGGTGCAGAAGGCAGTCAACACAGCCCGTGGGCTTTACCAGCGCTGGTGCGAGCTTCTGCAGGAAGGCGCAGGCGTCGGTCGCGAGGAGCTGGACTGGACAACCAACGAGCTCCGGAATGGTCTGCGCAGCATCGAGTGGGACCTGGAGGACCTGGAGGAAACCATCTATATCCTGGGAGACTGGGGCAGTGGGGCGGAGCCAGCCACCTGGAGGTGTTGCGGGCTGGGGGGAGAGAAGACTTAGCGCTGGCCTTGACCCTTGACTAGCTGCCCACCTATCGTGGAGGCCAACCCCAGCAAGTTCAAGCTCCCTGCTGGGGACCTGCAGGAGAGAAAGGTGTTCGTGGATCGCATGCGAGAGGCTGTCCAGGTGAGGCATTGTCTCCTGTGTGAGGCACATGAACAAGTTGGGGGGATCTTTACCCTCTGACCCTTCTGCACTCACTCCTAGGAAATGAGGGACCACATGGTCAGCCCAGCTGCAGTCGCCTTCATGGAGAGGAATAATAGAGAGGTGAGTGGTCCCGGCCTAGACCGGGTGTTATGACCCGAATCTCTCTGGGTCACTCTCTCCTCCTGCCCTGTTTGTGTCCATGCCCATCCTCGGTTGTACTCTCCTGACGATGTACCTGCCTCCTCTTCCAATGCGTGTGCCTCTGGGCCCTGTGTGCAGGGTGCTTTCTTCTGCCTTCTCCTGTGGTGTCCTCTGGGCAGGGGGTCTGTGCACCTATCTCGTGTGTGTGTGTGTGTGTGTGTGTGTGTGTGTGTGTGT